TCAAAGATTCCAGCTGATACTTGCTTCTTTGGTAATGACCTTCCTATTTCGCCTTGGTCATTAATGTCTATCATTTTATTCAAGATATCAACGATCTCATTTATCGACTTCTCTAACAAAGAGCCATTGGCTGCAGTGTTCAACATCATCCGTGATGAACGATCCAATCCTCTATAGAATTGTTCAATCTGCACACATGCGGGCAATCCATGGCTCTGGCATCTTCTAAGTAACTCTTTAAAACGCTCCCAAGCTTCTTGAACAGCTTCGTTCTCCTTCTGTCTAAAAGACACAATATCCTCTCGAAGGTCTGCGCTCCTGGTCAAAGTGTGGTACTTTGCCAAAAATTTCTCCATCAGTTCCACCCATGTGTTGATAGAATTTAGTTCTAACGCGTTTAGCCAAGTCCTTGCACCATCCCTGAGAGAAAAAGGAAACATTTTTAATCTTAGTGCATCCTCAGAGACACCAGGAAGTTGAAATGCATTAGCTATTTCAATAAAGGATTTGAGATGGGAGTAAGGATCTTCGTTAGTTAATCCTCCGAACTGGCCCATCGTTTGTAACATCTGGAACATGACTGGCTTGAGCTCGAACTGTGCGGCTTGGGGTAAAGGATTATTTATCCCTGAATTTAGGTTGTGGAACGCATCAGTGACATAATTACGCATGGCTACATCTCGATTATCTGCTAGAAGGATAGGATTAGGAATTTCTCCTGCTCGGTTTGCTGCTCCTTCACCTGCCATATCTCCCTTCATTCACAGGTGGATTTTGTGGCGGTGGAGGATCTTGTGCATTTCTATTCATCTCGATGGTCTCTTCTTCTACAACTTCTTTCTTTTTTTACTTTCTTTTTCTTTTCTCAACCTCTGCTCACGCCTTCTCCTCTTAAGGGTTCTTTCAATCTCTGAATCAAAGGTCAACCAACCAGACCCTGTGCTCATACACAACCCCCTTAAAGGTTAGATATAACAATTAAGTCCAATTACAGAGCTATGCAACAATCACACATGAAAAAATTCACTTGAAAAGAATATGATTTTAAAACTTAAGTCCCCGGTGTCACAATCGCACCTTTTTAAAGCAGCTCGAGCGATTGTGCGGCACTTGCTCTAGCTCAAACGAGCAAGTCAGCCGGGAAAAACTGTAAGTTGCGGACAA